ATCCTCGAGATTGCAAGAAGGACCCGCTCAACTTGTATTTTACGCCGTTCAAGAAGAAGACAAACGAACTGAATACTAGAAGTACTGGGATCTGTACAGTTGAAAAAAAACACTATGATGACGGATCAAATAAAGTGCTAAAGTGCTACAATTGAAAAGTACGGGTTTCATAAGTGGTCCTTCAAAATGCTTGCCTTGCGAAGATAATCTACTAATTGTGTCCTAACGCTGCAATGTGACAGACAACATGGGGCGGGTAGTAATGATTCATTCCTGTGAAAGTAAAGATAACAATGTGTCTTTTCAACACAATCACAAACGCAGGGAACTTGGCAGTACGATCCTTTATTCCTCTCAGAAACTTGATGTTCAAAAGTTTTACCCAAAAAAATCTTCTTACCAGTTTTCTTTCACCCTTACCTACTCTCAATAGCTTAGCATTCTACGTTATCTTTTTTATGTCCTTATTTGTCCTAAAAATTGCTGGTTATTGACGAGACTGCAAAGTAGTCATCTCTTAATCTTTTCATTTTGGGAGTTTGAACTCAGAGAAAGTTAGTTTCGGCCAATAAAAGCGAAAGTCCTGATTGAGGCACTTATATGGTTCGTTTTCACATTATTTTCTTAACTTATTTTTGACATCTTCGTATAGTTCATTATTCTCTACAAATATGACCCATCAAATTGGTTGATTTTGGCATATAAGTTTAGCTCCGAGCTTAGAATGCTGCCGTATTCCCACTTATACGCACATTCGGTTTCAGTTCCAGGTAGTCACTCTCTGATTGCGATTTCGCACAAAGTGGCTCATATGTTGACTTCCGACCCACGACTATATACCATATATAAGACTGCTTTCTTAACATTTCTGCCAAGGATTACCCTTCACCTGCTCTTTGCTTATTAACGTCGATTATGTAACTTATGCGATCGTACAGGAGAATGCAGACTCTTTAAGTTGTAATGAAACAGCTGGTAACAGTCTCCAATAGTGAAGAGAGGCATAATATTAGTATGAATCAACTGCATTCAATTTATTCTATGTAAAGTAAGATATGACGGACGCAGATACTCATATACGCGAATAAATATGGGGGCGCCGTGGCCGAATGATTGTGATGCTCGCCGTGGTGCGCGAGCCTAACTCCTCCCCAACACTTTGCGGCAGTCAACAGCGAACGCCCTATGGAGCGTCTCAGCCATGCTATCCTCGAGATTGCAATGAGACTCGCTCAAACAATATTCTACGCCGTTCAAGAAGAAGACAAAAAAACATATTGAATGCTAAGAGTACTGGGATCTGGACATCGGGGAAAAAAAACTGTGAAGACACGAGTCAACAAAGTGTAAAAGTGTCAGAGTAAGAAAGTGATCTTCTACGTCAAGGTCAGATGAATGCTATATTTTGAATCATTTTTTCGCTTGGTAAAATATCAATTGTTATGGCAAAATTGGGAGTCCTCAACAACCGAACATTAACCGTTTTATATTCTAGTAGACAGTGCCTAGTGCCCGTTTGGATTAGTTCAACCACATAGTTTTCTACTCGAGTCTAACTCAATTATATAAGAATTTACTCCAATCAGCTCAAATTGTTGTGCGGATCTGATAACAATAACGTTTTTGAAAGTGTACCAGGAAGGTATATTGCTTGATAACATCGTGAAAGTTGATATACGAGCAGAACTCGGAGCCTCAGGTGAGCTTCGACCTAGTTATTACTCATTCTAGGGTCTCCAATGCTCTCCGCGCATCACCAAAAGACGTGCCTAGCCTTTGCTTCTATTGATTCTTACCATTCTCATAGCAATTAGTCGTCAATGTGTTTGATCTGGGGAACATAACTGCGTTAAAGTTGTAACACTGTGATTTTGAATGGAGCTTCAGCTAAACTGAGAATAGTGCAGATCTGCTGCTCTCATCGCAGGATTTTTGCCGTTGTACCTCACATCTTAGCCTGGCTTGAAAAGAGAAAAAGCAAGAAGTAAAAATTCTAACACCGTAATGGAGCAGCTGTGCCGAGTGGATAGTGACGCAGGCCATTAAGAACGGAGGTACAGCTTAGGCCCCTCCCTCTTCTACAATCAATCAACGAAAGCTTTAGCTCAGCTACCTTGATGACTGGAATGTCTTCCGAACAGCATTCCACGTCAATCCTGTAGAAGACGAAATCGTCAAGCAGCAGTCGTAACAACGTGCGGAATATTTCGAAGAACTTCTTGAAGGATATATGCGAGAAAGCGAATCAAAGGCTAGAGGTTCTAGGATCCGCACAATAAAATGCGATGGCGTATCGCGTAAATAAATGTCACATAGCGCCTAAGCCTTTCAACAAACTCAAGTATTAATGATAAAAATTTCTTTTTATTCTATTTTTTTCAACTATTTTTTATGATTGACTTTTCATGAAAGATTACGTAACTTAATGATAATCATGGGTTGACAAAAAGTTGGCTGTCAAGATATTATTCGACTGTGTACTAGGTGATAATGATACCAGCCACTGCAGGATAGATTCCGTGAGAAACAAATCCTTACAAACTAGTAATTAACATAGCCCATCCTTCATTATAAGGGCATGTCCGAGTGAGGTTCTTATCTTGAGCGGTGCTCAATAGACAAATCGGCTCGACGGCAAAGAGTACGAGGACCCACAACGAGGACGAACAACTGTGGACAACTGATTTAAATCATCGGCTCTGTGGAAGAAGAAGACGTCGAAACAATGGTGAAAAGTCTTCTTAACAATCTCGTGGTTTTTTTCTATTCATAATTGAAAATACTAATGGATAGAGATCTCAGCATTGATTAAGTACTTCAGGAACTTACCGCGAATGCGATGCAAACCTGCCATACATAATGACTCTTTGGAGCGTGGCCTACTATAAAAACAGTGCTTCTATCCTAACAGGCGTATCTGGCATTACTTTGCTGAGCTCCTAGGGCTGAGCAACTATCTCAGTCCTAGAGAACCGTAATCAAACGAAAAAACAATGTTAAAATAGTGAAAAGAGAATTTTCGCAGTGTTATGATGTTATGCATATACCTAAGAAAATCGAGTGATGAAGAAAAACACGGCCTCGCCACCAAGACACATCTGCACCACCACTCATTCTCCAACACATCTCAATGTTAGCTAACAGCCAACAACATTTAACAGGTTTAGTCGGATATGCGATTTCGTTTTGTGTTAACCCGGTTGAGCCACTGTTAGATATAATGCTCGGAAATGTTAGTTTTTTACCGCTTTTTTCGCACTGATATGATGTTACACAAACACCTAAGAGAATTGAGTGGTGAGCAAAAATACGGACTCAGGCGAGAATCGAAAACGCGTTTCGAACCCATTTTGCTCACCACTCAGTTCCCTTAGGTGTATGTGTAATATCATAACACTGCGATAAGAACTGTAAAAATACTAGAATTTTGGAGTATTATATCTAACAGTGGCTGTCAGCTCAACCGGGTTTATAAAGCAAAGTAGCATACCCGACCAGACCTGTTAAAGGTTGCTGGCTGATAGCTAACATTGAGATATTGAAGAATAAGTAGTGGTGCAAATGTGCCTCGATAGTTTAGTGGTGGTAGCACGCGTTCTCAATATAATTGGAACGCGGGTTCGTCCTCCTCCCCGAGACCATGTTCTGCTCACCACTCAATTCTCTTGGATATCTTTGATATATACACATATACACATATATACATATATATATACATCTACATAAATATATATATATCTATATATGTATACATATATATGAGCGCGTATCTCGCAATAGTTAGAGATGCTCTACCACACACATGATCGGTGGTTCGATCCGGCGCTCAAGGTTTAATCAAGCTTCCATATTTTCGGGAATAGTGAATTGATACAAGGCTTGGTCTGGGAGGATTGATGCAATGAAATGATAGATCGGTAGGCAACTGTAAGTCATTGTAAATACCAGTCAGACACTCAGTCACCTCAAAGGATACTAGATGTAGACGAATGCATGGCAAGTCCCTTAGAGATTGATCAAGGCCGAGGGTTCATATATATATATATATATATATATATATATATATATATAAATTTATTCATTTATTTATTTATTTATTTATATATTACTTTGTGGACGGAATATATATATATATATATATATATATATATATATCGCTACGAAAAGAGGCTATCGGCGATTGCTAGGGTATAGCGGTTTCTTCCCATGTCCACCGTGTTTGAGCGTTTTGGCAAAAACGTACTATTGACAACCTATTTCTTGAAAGGCCTGTTTTTTTGGGCTGTAGAAGTCAAAATAAAATTCTGTGCCACACTGAAGCATTTCTCGCCTTATAAATTTTTCTTCGTAAAATTTATAATCATTAGATAAGGCAAATCTTAGAAATTTTATCAGTAAGGACTTCTTCTAGAGCCTTCACATCCAAAGTAATACTAGATTTCGGGAAATCGGATCACTTCCGATGTCCACATCCTGATTTGACCTCTTCGGAAAGACGTTTTTTCTGATTCTTTCTAAACATTCCAAAGGTCGCTTGATAGTTGAAATGTTGTCATTTTGAAGGTATACACTATTGTCAGGAAGGCCACCTCAACGCGCTCTAACAGTAAAATTAAGATTACTTATCAGAATTTTTTATTTGACCGTCATTTGCGGTGTTATGATGTTACAATATACCCAAAAGTGTAGAGTGCTGTGCAAGAACATCTGCGTCAGTCGGGATTCGAACCCCGATCTCACTTTTTCCGGGAGGTGTGTGCTAGAGCGATGCACCACCGAAGCTCGTTTTGCACAGCAGCCTTTCTATGCTACAGCGCGTTGTCTGTCAACAGCCAAACCGTTTACGGTCTGGCGAGGCAGCCACTATCGACATTGAACCCACTTGTGTTGACAGATATTGGGTATCAATGATCAATTAGAATTCTTTTTATTCGACCGCCACTTGCGGTCTTATGACGTTACAGTATACCCGAAAGTGTAGAGTGCTGTGCAAAAACATCTGCGCCAGCCGGGATTCCAACCCCGATCTCACACTTTCCGGGAGTGTGTGCTAAACCGTTGCCCCACCGACGCTCGTCCTGCACAGCACTCTCATGATAGAGCATAAAATTATCTTTCACACTCAAGCATTTCTCGGTGAACAAAGCTTTTCCGCTAGACTTTTAAAAATTGTTCGAAAGCTTAAATTTCGGCTATTACTCTAGTAACTATGTTTTCAGAAACAAGATCTTGTTGTACTGTAGCAGTCAAGGAATATTATATTTCGCAGTTATTCGGTATGTTGCAAAAAGCGAGGTGACTCGGTACCAGTGTCGTGAAAACCCATGCTTAGGGGTGCGAAACCTAATCTTTTTTTCACTGTCACAGCGCCTCAAGGGAGTCTTCTCCAAAAATCGATTACGTCTACTAAATTGCTGAGAGTTGCGCTATCGAATGGTTAATGATTGCCTTATAATAGAATTTATCTGACGAGAAATATTCGAGTGTGAACAAAATTTTATTTCAAGTATTAGAACGCGAAAAACAATCCATTCAAGGAACAGAACATAGCGTTCAAATTGACGTGATTCCAGCTACTGAATGAACATCAGCAGTTTATTAGAATACGTCCTTTTTAGAGAGAACCAATGGCTCACACGCGCAATCCTTGAAAGGCTGTTGCATGCGGCAGAAATTCTTCCCAAAAGCAAGAATTTTTAAGACAATTGAACGTTCTTAAAAAGGGGTTAATAAAAATTCTTTCAATGATAATTTTGAGTTTTCTTTAGGAAAAAAAACTTCATAAGATTTGATAATTAACCTTATAATCCCAAAAAATTCGATATAAATTGAAAAATTGGACTGCGAGTGTAAAACGTCATCTTTTATCTATCAATAGAACGTGCTGCAGAATTCCTTCTTAACAACAAACTTAGTGTAGAATCAGAATATTTCAAGTTAAGGATTGATTACAAAAGTATCAAGAGGATAGGAGAAAATGTACAAGCACAGCTAAGAATATAACCCTTCCTGCAAGTAAATGGTTTTTTCCTCTGAAAAGGTAAGAGTTTGGGGTCATTAGCATTAATCTTAAAAAACCATCCAAGCAAGAGTATCATCAGCGATACATTATTGTTTCTCGATGACCATGTTTCTCTGTGAACTTGATCAACCTAAATTCGTACTGGAGTATGCACCACTCTTCGTAGCTGTCCAAACGGCGTGCCAAGGTGAAGGTCAAAGTGGCCCTCATCGTCTGCAAAGGGATATATGTATATAATTATATATATATATATATATATATATATTACATATATATGCGTATGTATATATGTATAAGAAAAGGGAAGTGGAGTGAGAAGGCTAGTTGTTTTCAACATAGTTTATATCTTAGAAATCACAACTGCTGAGCGAAAGTAGGGCTAAAACCTAGAGTATATAACATGCCGAATGTAACATCGTTTGACGACGATAGTGATACGACTTCGCTCTTTCGGCGACTAGTTTAAAGGTATTTGACTCGGTTATGTGAGTTTGTGTAAAAAATTGCCTCATGTCCAAGTGATGTGATGATGATTCAGAGTAACTCACAATGTTATATCTAAGCTAAACTACTGGGACAAAACGACAAAGTGCTTCGCGTTGATCGAACTCGGAATCACAGCAAATAATCTAATGTTCATAAGAGCGTTGATTAATACGTGCAACGAGCCTCTTCGCAATTTTTTCTGCTGCTGAATTCCTATAGCGATGTTCTTCGTGCAGAAGAGTTGCATATAGTTTTGTATTCATTGAAAAGAAGCATATTACTGTAGAAACCATCGCAAGGCAACTAGTTATTGCAGCTCGATTATCAAATGAATCAGGTTAGTACTAGTAATCTCTCACATTTTCTGGGCATGTTATTCAATTATGAAATTGTCCTATCACAACTAGTTTAGTAGATCAGAACATAAAGGTTGTGAATCATTCACACAAACCGCCTACTGTGGATCTATAGTAACCGTGAACAACTAAACAATCTTTCAAATGGGCCAGTCAATTGGCTCCTATTTCGGGCCACAAATATCTTTTTTTCAACTCTTTTCGCTTCTTGAAACCGATGAATAAAACAACGGCTTTCCAGAAACCAGCCCACCGCGCCTTTTCCGGGTCCTACCGAAAGTGTAAAGAAGCGGGCATGCATAAATAGATATCGATCATCAATCGTAACTTCCTAAACGAGCGCACGAAATGCGTTGAACTTCAAAAAAAGTGGCCGATATAATTTGCAAAAACAGTGACTAAAGATAGTTGATCTTCCTGAGACAAGATCAATGTAATATTCGAGGATGTTACCAGCCAGTAAATACTTCTTTGGCAAAGTTACAGTGATACTAAGCATCGATTCACACCTAAATCCATATAGACCTCCACCATGGACGACCATCGCGAGAAAAGAAACGAATGGAAAATGTGCTGTGTTCCGCACTTGCAACTATTCAAGTAAGTAATGCTCGAGAGCTGCTGACTTTTAGTCCTGATGATCACGTCAGATAGCGTGCCTATCAAATGTACGCTGTTAACTTTGTACTCGTTACCTTAACCGATTGGTCAAGGCCAGCGAAAACGTGAGGGTTGTGTTACATTTGGACGCAAGATTCCAAACTACATAGATTTCTCCTTCAAAAGTGCGCTGCTGTAGTTAATGCTTCTCAGCACTACACATGTGTTCTATAACCGAAAGAATGCTGGAAGTTAACCATTGAATTTGATGTTCATGTGTTATGAACTTCTCACCACCATGTCCCTATGTCTTTCCTTACAGCGCGTGCTAACACGACGCCATCGGGGCCCTCGCTCTGCCCTTTCCTTAACCGCGTTTGAACCTATTTTACACTGTGGAGAAGTTTAGACAACTCCATGTTTAGTTTGAAAAAGCTTATCACTTTAAGTGTGGATGCATCCAACTCCTGTGGTAAGATTCGACAAGGTACCACTTTTCTATGATCACGAACTTCCTAACATCTTACAACCAGAAATTAGAAATTTCGCAGTGACATCACCGACGCGGAAATATGTTACAACACATCAATAGATCTTTTCATTATTATTTGAGCCAACATGTCATGTGCTCTGATAAGGGCTCTTGTACAGCCCGATACACGTGTTTCGTCCTTACAGACTCGTCAGTCGGGCAGAACTCGTCGTCTTTCGATCTTTTTATTAGTCAATTCTCCCGGGAGCCTGCTCTCCCTGCAGAGAGTTATCGAAGACGGACGTTTTACACTCTATGTCACGTGAAATTTTCACTTAATAGAGACAAGAGCCCTTATCAGACCACATGACATGTTGACTCAAGTAGTAATGAAAGGATCTATTGAAATTTGAGCTTAGTCTTAATAAAACACTTGAAATAAAGTCATAATATGTTGCAACATTGCCCCTAAGCTTTTCATTTTGACAGCACATATGGAGCGACCGCTCTTAATTGAGTATAGAAAGCAAGCTTATAATAAAATGACTCGTTCCTTGTTTCCGACTGGCTCAAAAGGACGAACCATGTTCGAACGTGCCAACTCTAAACTTCTGAATTGAGAAGTTTAAGTGGTAAACAAATCTAAGGGTGGAACACAATCAATTTAATAGGTTGTGATTTTGTAAAAACAAAATCATTTGGTAAAGAAAAGCGAAGAGCAGATCTGGTGCTCTGTATGCCAGCTTTTGATCCGTCGTTCTTCCTGTCTTTATGAACGTGATGGAATCGTGGACGCAGTGTATGGAAGAGAATGATTCTCACGATTATCGAAGGCGATATCGTGAAAACGGTGGCGAGGTACATATTGCACAGATCATGCAAATTATAGGAAATTCGAAGTTTCAGTATATGTCAATAATCAGGGATCAAAGAAGCTTCAGCGTAACGAAAAATATTAATAATGAAGCAGTCCAGGCATGTGATTCAGTCTTAACGACATTCTGTTGAGAACAGCTGTCAGTAATTTGATCTCATGGAATGCCAAACTTACCGGAGGAAGAACACGTGTTCTATTAGTCACTTTTCCCACAGAATCCGAAAAACAACTATGGTCAGCAAACCTCAAAGGAAGCAGAGCTCATTGGTCTACTGTCAGCAGAATTAATTGAAATCTCTACTCTAAACTACTCAAGTCGCTCAGCGATCAGTGATCGGTCAGACAATATGCCGTGAAATATTCGTTACTAGATTTACTATCCAATATCAGTGCAGTTATTCCCTACTTACTTTAAGAAATGGGCAAATACCCTCAGTGTAATTCAGAGTACATTGAAGATTATAGAAGACTACGATTCATTTTGAACTTGTGCTGCTTACACATCACCTAAAAAGAGAGCACCAACAGACAAGATGGCACTGTAGTATTTTGTTATGGTCGATTTACAAATTATGAAATTCCACTATACTTTGGTACTGAACTTGTCATAGATGGAAGTCTTTTGTGGTGTTTTGTTATTTCAGGAAAAAAAGCACTTCATTTGAAAGCATTCTTTAGCTTCACACATCCACCACGGCATTAATTTTTCAAATTTTATCCTAATAATTTTTTAGGGTACCAAATCTCTTTCAACAGTTGAAATAGCTCATTCGGTTTTTGATGAACAGTTTAGTGTCCAAAGTGTTCTAGAGCTTTACCACTTGTGCACTGATTTCGGTGTATGCGCTAAATATCGGTCCAAAGTTTCACCTTTCAGAGCCTGCCTTTTGTGGACTAAAATTACAAGAGAGACAGACGACATGACATGCCAGCTCAAATAATAATTATGAGGGTATATTTAATTATGAGCGTGGTATTAAGAAAACACTCGAAGCGAACAGTATAATATTTCAAAAATACTAGCCAAGAGCAATCGAGTGTCAAACACTACCGATCTAGTGATCTGTTTCACTTGACGGCAAGTGTGTAAATAGTCCGTCGTCGCCTAATCTTTATAAGGGATGTACTGCCCAAATGACGATACTGCAAGGCCGAAACACGTCTATCGGGCTGTACAGCAGCCCATAACAGTCCGCATGACTTGCTAACTCAAATAGTAATTATGAGATATAATTAGTTTTGCGCGTGGCCTTAAGAAAA